CGCTACCGTTAATGCGGCTCGCACCGCTGCGAGCCCACCCACAAAAGTGGTATCAAAACGTGCGGCTCGTTCCCTGCATTGGAGCTATTACTTTTATGGGGAATCGGCGTTACGACGGCGACGTAAAAGCGAAAAACGAGCAAAATTTCCAACTGCCGAAACGCAGAGCATAACTGCCACCAACTGCCGCTCTGCTAGAGTGAAAAATGAAGTGGATTTCTGACCCCACATAAATTTTGAAATCGCCGCCACGCCCACAAATATCGTGCTCCCGATATGAAACTCGGTCATGACATCGATACGAATGTCTGCTCCGGTAAAATGTTTTCAAAATTTTTCTAGGGCTTACGGTTTTCTGTCAAGGTGCTTTAGAGCAAAATCAAGTTCCAGCCTAACTGACGCTCTCCACCATATATTTTCATAATTTTATGGAAAATTTCAGACCTCAGCGCACACCATTTTTCTCTCATCGCTGTAATTACTATGAATGAGCTACAGATATGATTTGCAGGACTATCGGAGACAAAAAATAGCTCTCTCACATGCTTCAAACGGTTTTCCGATACGTATCACGGTTTCCAAACGGCAAGGAGTTGTTCGGGCTGCTTTTTCCATTATAACTGACTGAGCTGTCTCACAAAGATAGAAATCTGTCTCTGCCTCACACACATGACTGTTGACCTCTTTAGAACTACAATTCCTGAAGGTTAGAACTACAACATGGCGGAACTGTCAGTTATTACTGAGGAGGAATGAGCTGGCCTTTAGAATTACATTGTGTTTGGGCTTATTATAACTGATTTTCACCAACCATTGTTACACACAGTATTTCTGTGGAAATTTTAAATTAAGCTTAATGAAAATTTCAAAATAAAACCTTGAATATTTCTCTCAGGCCTGTCAGAAAACTAACTTCTTCAAGAATTTATAATTAAGTCTCTCCTTGTGTCACACTGACATGACAGTTGACCTCTTTAGAACTACAATTCCTGAAGGTTAGAACTACAACATGGCGGAACACTCAGTGCCTACAAAAGAGGTCAGAGCTGATTGGCAGAACTACAACATGGTGGAACTGTCAGTTACTACTGAGGAGGAATCAGCTGGCCATGACAAGTACTTGGTTTTTGGGAATTTTAGAACTGATTTCAAAACTCCATAGTTACATATGGGATTAGTGTTATCATTAAAATTAAGCTTAATGTAAATTTCAAAATAAAAGCCTTGACAATTTTTCCATCAAGTAATTGCTCTTTTGACCACTATATACTGACTTAACCCAATCAGTGTTAAACATGGGATGAGATTGGCCATTTAAAATTAATCTCAATGAAAATTTCAAAATAAAAGCCTTAAGATTCCTTTCTGGCTCATGCCTATTTTAGGGAAAATGGCTGCCTCAAACTGATAGAATTAAGTCTCCCCCTGTCTGACTCACAGCTGGCAGAGGATCCATTACCATGGCAACGGAACACAAAGGGGCCAGCTGATTAGGACTACAAAAACGCATCACTGTAGTTCTAACTATGGCAGAACTCAGAGAAAAAAGCTGGACTTTAGAACTGCTTGTGTTTTGGGCCTTTTATAACTATTTTTAACCAACCATTGTTACACATGGAATTAGTGTGGAAATTTTAAATTAAGCTTTAAAAAAAATTCAAAATAAAAGCCTTGACAATTTTTATATTAAATAAGTGCTCTTTTGACCATTATATGTCTGATTTAACCAATCCCTGTTATACATGGGATTACATTGACCATTTAAAATGAAACATTCTGAACATTTCAAAATAAAAGCCTTAAGATTCGGCCGTGGCTAATGCAGCGCCGCAGGCGCTTCAATGATATTAGCTTGCTTGATCTTTTTTAGTCAGGTTAGGGCTCTGCCTTGCGCAGCAAGGCAGAGCATTAGCATTAGCCTTTTACCTTAAATGAGGTATTAGCTATTTCTGACTTATTAGCGATATTTGGTATGGTGAATGGAGTAAGTAAATTACAGAGAACATGCTCGTGATTGTCCACATGCTACTGACAGTATTCATTCTAACATTAGCATTTTTGCTAATTTTAGCTTATACACTTAATTTAACATACTGAATGGTGCAAGTTCATGTTAGTGAACATTCTTGTGATTCTCCCACATGATACTTTGTCATTTTTAGCAAAGCTTAGCATGGATGCTAATGTTTAGCATCAGAACGCTGGGTCCAAACCGACGGGCACACTTTGGCAGGCCCCGGTTAAATTTCTTCAGGAATTTTCTAGTTCTTCTTTATTTTTCTTCCGTAGACCGGAATGCGGCTCGCACCGCTGCGAGCCCACCCACAAAAGTGGTATCAAAACGTGCGGCTTGTTCCCGGCATTGGAGCTATTACTTTTATGGGGAATCGGCGTTATGACGGCGACGTAAAAAGCAAAAAACGAGCAAAATTTCCAACTGCCGAACCGAAAAGCTCAACTGCCAAAACCTAGAGTGTAACTGACGTTTCGTTAGAGTGTGGGAAGCACTGCGATTCTGACCCCAAATAAATTTTGAAATCGCCGTCACGCCCACAAATATCGCCCTATCGGTATCAAACTCGGTCATGACATAGATACGCATGCCTGCTCCGGTAAAATGTTTTCAAAATTTTTCTAGGGCTTATGGTTTTCTGTCTAAGGGCTTCAGAGCAAAGTGATGCGACAGGATTTCGACTCGCTCAGCCAGGATCACTTCCATGTATTTCTGAAAATGTCAGACCTCAGCGCACACCATTTTTATCTCGTCGCTGTTATTAATGTGAGTGATGTACAGATATGAATCGCGGGACTATAGGAGACGAAAGATAGCCCTCTCATACACTTCAAACGGTTTTCCGATACGTATCACGGTTTCCGAATGGGAAGCAGTTGTTCGGGCCGCTTTTTTCAGTCAAAACTGACTGGGTGTCTCACAAAGATAGAATTCTTTCTGTCTCACACACATGACAGTTGCAGAAGATTAATTACCATAGCAACGGAGCACAGCAGGGCCGAGCAGCTAATTAGAACTACAAATACGCATCATTGTAGTTTTTACTGTGGCAGAGCTCTGAGGAAGGAGCTGGCCTGTAGAACTACTTGTGTTTTGGGCATTTTATAACTGATTTTAACCAACCGTTGCTACACATGGGATTAGTGTTAATTACGTTTAATTAATCTTAATGAAATTAAGCTTAATGAAAATTTCAAAATAAAAGCCTTGACAATTTTTATATCAATTGCTGTTTGGAGCATTTTAGAACTGATTTAACACAATCACTGTTACTCATGTGAATAGATTGGACATTTAACCGAGGCTTACTGAAATTTCAAAATAAAAGCCTTAAGATTCCTTTCTGGCTCATGCCTATTTTAGTGAAAATGGCTGCCTCAAACTGATAGAATTCTGTCTCCCCCTGTCTGACTCACAGCTGGCAGAGGATCCATTACCATAGCAACGGAGCACAGCAGGGCCAGTGGTTAGGACTACAAATACGCATCACTGTAGTTTTTATTATGGCAGAGCTTTGAGGAAGGTGTTGGCCTTTAGAACTACTTGTGTTTTGGGCATTTTATAACTGATTTTATCCAACCATTGTTACACAGGATTAGTGTGGTAATTTTAAATTAAGTTGAATTAAATTTTCAAAATAAAAGCCCTGACATTCTTTTATATTATGGAATTGCTCTCTTGGGGATTATGTGACTTTTTTAACAAAACCACTGTTACACTTTGGATTATTTTGGACAGTTAAAATGAAGCTTACTGAAAATTTCAAAATAAAAGCCTTAAGACTCTTTCTGGCTTATGCCTATTTTAGTGAAAATGGCTGCCACAAACTGATAGAATTATGTCTCCCCCTGTCTGACTCACAGCCTGTAGAGGATCCATTACCATAGCAATGGAACACAGCAGGGCCAGTGGTTAGGACTACAAAAACGCATCACTGTAGTTCTAACTATTGCAGAACTCGGAGGAAAAGGCTGGACTTTAGAACTGCTTGTGTTTTGGGCCTTCTATAAGTCTTTTTAACCAACCATTGTTACACATGGAATTAGTGTGAAAATTTTAAATTAAGCTTTAAAAAATTTTCAAAATAAAAGCCTTGACAATTTTCCCATCAATTAAGTGCTCTTTTGACCATTTTATGTCTGATTTTACCAAAAATCGTTACACATGGGATTACATTGGCCATTTAAAATGAAGCTCACTGAAAATTTCAAAGTAAAAGTCCTAAGATTCGTCTGTGGCTAATGCAG